TCTCAATATGTATGTATGATAGTGGCACTAACCCCCCCCCCTTTTTTTTTTTAGCTCTACTGGTCAGAGACCAGAAGAGATAATGCAATAGTAATGCGTCCGTCCGTCCGTCTGTCTGTCTGTAAACAATTTTTCAAAATGCTACTTCTCCTACAGTTTTGGTCCGATTTCAATGTAACTTGGCACACAAGTAGACTACATTAAGATACATAATTCTGTGCATCCGTTTTTAATTTCGATGAACGGTGTTGCCATGGTTACTAAAAATAAAAATTTCTGTGAAAAGTTTTCAAAATGCTACTCCTCCTTCCGTTCTGGTCCGATTTCAATATAACTTGGCACACAAGTAGACCACACTAAGATACATAATTCTGTGCATCAGTTTTTGATTTCGATGAACGATGTTGCTGTGGTAACTAAAAATAGAAATTCGGTGAAATTCTTTCAAAATGCTACTCCTCCTACAGTTTTGGTCCGATTTCAGTATAACATAGCACGTAAGTAAACTATACCATGATACATAATTCTGTGCACTGGTTGTTTATTTCGATGAACGATGTTGCCATGGTTACTAAAAATAGAAATTTAGGTGAAATTCTTTCAAAATGCTACTCCTCCTACAGTTTTGGTCCGATTTCAATGTAACTTGGCACACAAGTAGACTACACTAAGATACATAATTCTGTGCATCCGGTTTTAATTTCGATGAACGGTGTTGCCATGGTTACAAAAAAAAAGATTCTGTGAAAAGTTTTCAAAATGCTACTACTCCTTCAGTTCTGGTCCGATTTCAACATAACTTGGCACACAAGTAGACCACACTAAGATACATAATTTCATGCATCAGTTTTTGATTTCGATGAACGATGTTGCCGTCGTTACTAAAAATAGAAATTTCGATGAAATTCTTCTCCTACAGATTTGGTCCGATTTCAGTATAACATAGCACGTAAGTAAACTATACCATGATACATAATTCTGTGCATTGGTTGTTTATTTCGATGAACGATGTTGCCATGGTTACTAAAAATAGAAATTTCTGTGAAATTCTTTCAAAATGCTACTCCTCCGACAGTTTTGGTCCGATTTCAAAGTAACTGGGCACACAAGTAGACCACACTAAGATCACAGGGGCCTGTAACATACTGTATTTGATTTTACGTAGTCACTATATGTATACAAAAAGAGAAAGGGAAACAACGTCAGCTCGAATTTACACAGGGTCGATCTCGGAAATGACTCGCGTTTTCAATGAAATACCTTGCAGTTAGTGAAATAACGTCTGGGATCATTCAGTAATAATCACTCTTTAATAAAAATACCATCGCGGTCATTTAAGAATCGAGTAAGTCGTGTTTTGCAGATCCGATATCCTGTCATGCAAGTGATGTAGTTTAAGTCGTCCACTAAATTCGCAAAACACTGCATCCAATATTTAACGTGAGATGTGATTAGTCAATGGTGCTTTTCTAGAACATATCTGACCAATCACGCCCCGCCTTTTACCAATCATGGGTTTCTCCAAAATGGGCTAGAGCCTCTCTGTGAACGAAAAAAGCTACCGTATTTATTCAAATCGGAGATGTTGTAACTTTTAATTGCAATTAACAAAAGAAAAAGATTATTTTCGTGAACGCTGGATCTTTACTTTGTGTTTTTCATCTCCGAAAAGACTTCAAAACTGGAGAAAATGTGCCTCGTTTTAGTGGACGACTTAAAGTACATCGACTCGCACAACGGGATATCGAGTTAGTATTACCCAACTTAAACGCTATAAAAAGTAACAAGGTTTCTGTTTTATTTAAGGAATGACTCTAATTCTTGGCCATATTATCGAGTATAATCTGGTTTGGGTCAGTTTACGCTTTATAATTTGCGAAGCGGATTATAAAAAAGCGTAAACTGGCCCAAACCAGATTATACTCGATAATATGGCCAAGAATTAGAGTCATTCCTTATAATTTAATTAAAAGATAAATAATTCAATTTTTAATGATAGGAATCATTTATTTTTACATAAAATTTAAATTTACAAGTTCACTGTGATACGCGCATGAATATGCTTAGCAACGGCCGACGAGAGGACGGCAGACATCTTGAAATACACAAAGTGCAGTGCCGGTTATTTTTCAAAATTGAAAACACGGTTATTAAATGTGGAGTTTGCCATGAATCCTGCTGAAAGAATATTCGAGGATTGAAGGGAAACTATCCCGGGATTGGATGACGAGGCGGAAATGGGAACGTTAGATGACATGCGATCAATGGACTGGCTTTGGTTCTCAGTCTGCGATTTAGGAATACACCCTGGGCTGCATGTAGATATCAAATGATATGTTGAAATCGGACCAGAACTGAAAGAGGAGTAGCATTTTGAAAACTTTTCACAGAATCTTTTATTTTTAGTAACCATGGCAACACCGTTCATCGAAATTAAAAACGGATGCACAGAATCATGTATCTTAGTGTAGTTTACTTGTGTGCCAAGTTACTTTGAAATCGGACCAAAACTGTAGGAGGAGTAGCATTTTGAAAGAATTTCACCGAAATTTCTATTTTTAGTAACCATGGCAACATCGTTCATCGAAATAAACAACCAATGCACAGAATTATGTATCATGGTATAGTTTACTTACGTGCTATGTTATACTGAAATCGGACCAAAACTGTAGGAGGAGTAGCATTTTGAAAGAATTTCACCGAAATTTCTATTTTTAGTTACCACGGCAACATCGTTCATCGAAATCAAAAACTGATGCACAGAATTATGTATCTTAGTGTGGTCTACTTGTGTGCCAAGTTATGTTGAAATCGGACCAGAACGGAAGGAGGAGTAGCATTTTGAAAACTTTTCACAGAATTTTTTATTTTTAGTAACCATGGCAACACCGTTCATCGAAATTAAAAACGGATGCACAGAATTATGTATCTTAATGTAGTCTACTTGTGTGCCAAGTTACATTGAAATCGGACCAAAACTTTTTTTTTTACTAAATAATAGTATTCATGTGAAATGAAAAATTATGAGGTCTGGCTTGTACAAACTCATAAAATCATCATTACAGTGTGATAAATATTCCCTATAAAAAGAATCTTCTATACACATAATAAAGAATAATTAAGCAATCAAACCTTTATATCCATATTGGCATATTTATTTGCTTAAGTATACATGTATACATTTAATAATTCTAGAAATTCAGTCAAGGGGATCCGACCCCCCCCCCCCCCCCCGCACACACAAACACACACTGCGCATGGTTTACTTTTTCCCTAAGCGGGGGACACACATTCTCTGAATTAGCTTGTTCAGATATTATCAAATACATCAGAATTATAAAGAAGTACATTATAGTTAATCATTTCAGCAAGGCCGGTAAACTTTCAACCACAGAAAAAGTTTTTACAACATTTTATATGACTCTACCCTGTTCGGCTTCATTTCCACTAATGGACAGATGGTTACCACAAGTTTTCTATATTTTTAGTTGGAATAATCAATCTTATTTTAAGATTTTTTACCTGATATGATATTCTATAATAAAATTAAATTTATCTGAATCCTCATTTTAATCAAGTAAAAAAATTATAACATCAAATGAGTCAACACTCGTTCACAAAGACAACATCTTGACAAATATAATACTGACTAATATCATAATAAAAAATAAAAAACCGAAGAGCGCAAACCAAAAAAGTTTTATTGCTTTCAATGTACATGTATATATGATTATAATAAAAGAATAAAATTATTTTCTTCCACACATTTCTGAATTATCATTTGGCAATCTAGGGTACTCCCCTTTAAAGGCAGAGATTTTTTACCGGGTGGTAAATTCCAGGTGAGGGAGGGGCTTATTTTGTACAGGTGTGAATGCCTTGGGGCTAGCAGTCTACCTGTAGTCATCTGTCTCCTAATCCCTATACACAGGAAGTGATTTAATACGCGGTGAAATACTCAGATGTCAAACTTTACCTGTTTGGGGATTTTACCCATGATTAGAAACATTATTTTTTTTAAATTTAATTACTTCACACAGTGCTGCTCTGAACTTTATCAATAACATTTCCACTTTAAAATTATACCATTTAACATATTAAAAATAGAATGGAAATTTCATTTGAAAAAAAAAAGTTTTATGTACCAAAGGTTAATTTTTTGTTTTAAAAATACATATCATATTATTATCCTTTCAAATACTAAAGGTATATTTAATTCATAAATTATCAATCTAAAAAAAAATCACAGTAATTCTGTATACCATGTTCAGTAAAATCAAAGGATCAAAAGTTAATTAGAAGGTCACAACGAGTCCCATTCAAGGTGTACAGGGTATACACAGGGACCAGTAAGTAACTGTCAATCAAGTTCCAGCATCCAATGATGGACCTTCACTTACTTGATTGACAGGGCTACCCAGACGAGGTATTTTTGAAGGCGGTGCTTAAAATCTCTGCCTTTAAAAAAAATCGATTTCAGCACCAAAATCTCTTTGTCATCCCTATTAAGCATAAAGATACTTCATGTTAACAATAATTTTTTAAAAATACTTTTACTAAATAAATATTAAAAATGTCAATCATTTGACCTAGATATATGACCTTGACCCTTAAATATTTATAATCATGGTATTTCAACTAATGTCAACTTCTACTGAGAAGGAAACTATATTTCAGCATGCTTACAATACATTAAAGTTCTTAGTCTGCTCATTGAAAACATCACCTGACCTCCAAAGATAATTATTTAACTCACACGAGATAACAGCATAATATAATGTTTGATATATCAAATACAAATTCATCTTTTTTTTGCTTTGATGTGCATTGGTACATAACAATACACAAATAATAACATGAATTCATACTTGTTATTATTCATAATTGTCATACTTCTACTTCATAATTTTGGAATGACAGAATCTAATGTCCTTTTGCAACTAGTGACCCGAGCTTGGTCGTTGCTGTTTTTGCTAACAAAAATATTTCGAAGTCCATCCTCACCTTCCCTCATGTGAACTTTTCGAAGATTTGCAAGACACAAACCAGACCCTGCAACATTTTCTGCTGTTGCCATCTTCATCACACCGGCTGCAATTAATGGATGATCCAATGTTTTTGGTTTTCTCCCTGTTAAATACCAACTGAATTTTCACTGCTTCAGGTGAAAACGAAAAGTCTGCGAGATATTTATCTGTTATTTTCTCATGCTTCATGAGCCAGCATAGTGATCTTACATCCTCAAGGGCATTATGTGCATCATATGTTGCAGCTAGTAGGCTTCTGACAAGATTTTCTTGTTTGTACGAACTTTCTCCAGGGAAAATCTTTTTCAACAAAGGTAGACTGTCAACAAACCCTATCACAACATCACATAATTCTGATACATGATCCACAGATGCAAGTGCCGTCATGAACACAGGGAAATCAGAATTTTTGCCACTGTGAGTAATCAGGATGACTTTCTTGTAGAATTTTAGCCAATCTAGAAACTTGGACAGACCTGAGTTAACAGTTTCAGTCTCTACCTCCTTCCCATTTACCATTTAAACATTGGATGAAGACACAGTGATCCCACTAATTCTCTGGGCTTCTTGTGACTGTGGAATCTTTGGAAGCACATACACTGTAAGAAATGTGTTTAGAATTCAAAAACTTTTCTAAACACTTTTTTGTCACCTTCTTCTTTATATGTTTAATTCCTAAACATGTTTAATTTCTAAACACGTATGAGAAAGTGTTTAGAATGGAAGCACATAAGTGTTTAGATTTTAAACACTTTCTCATACATGTTAAGAAATTTTACATGTTTAGGAATTAAACATATAAAAAAGAAGGTGACAAAAAAGTGCTTAGAATAGTGTTTGAATTTTAAACACATATCTTAATTATAAGCTTAGAAATTAAACATATCTAGATTTAACATACTAAAACAAATGTTACTGCAGAAAAACTATAAACACTTGTAAATTTTGGCACAAAGAGCATATTACTTAATACACGTAATATTATAGCAAAATTTTCAAAATATTAAATTATTCATCATACGGCCTCTGATTCTTTATATATGTAGATACTTTACAATTGTGTGATGTTCTTTTTATACAAATAAATATTTTTGATCTCTATAAGTTCAATCAGCATGACATACATTTTATAACGCAGGAATGAGCAACAAAAATAAAATACTAGTAATCTAGCAATTTTATATCAAAACTTCCTTTAATCTTTTTAATAATGCTTTATCAAAGATATTTCAATTAAAATGATAAAATATTTATTTTATATAATATTTTGTATATGATTAATTACAGTTTCAATCGGTGGCAGAGTGTTCCATATGTCAGTCATGAAAATGTCAAACTTGATTAACTTTCAGCAGTCCTCAAGCACTACATAGCACCACATGATATAATATCCCATCAGTAACTGCCGAAAAGTAATCCATTTCAAATGCACAAGGATAATCACAAAATGATAATTTTAGGTACATGTATTCAAATCCGCAGAACATTGTCGAATTAGGGGTAACCCAATACACTTCATAGAAATACTTTTTTTAGTGTTGATCATGGAACAACAATTTGCACTTGAAGATGACGCCACGCAGGTACTTTGATATATGCATGCTTGGAGTTCAACCCAGACTACTCACAAAACCTGTGGGAAAGAAAGTCAGATTTAAGTGAAAGAACCGTATGCTGCCCATTGAAGATGACATCATTTTCAAGTTGCATTGAAACTATACTTACATTAAAATAGTTATTTTTAATGAAATTTAATATAAACTCCTCTACTTCAAGTATATAAACGACCTCAACACTGTTTACATTGCTCATCGTGGTTTAATAATGCAAATCTTAGTAAAAAGAAAACATATTTTTACTATATTGCAGTAAAAATATGTTTTCAAATGATTTTCAATATTTCTTCATGGTTATCCGTTGGGTTGTCAGTAACTCTCCTTGATACGTCCCTAAAGCATTTTGTGATTTACTTTGTTTCGATGGCCGCTCAAATTAACGTTCAAATATACGAGTATCTGTGTCATTTCCGGGAAGATAACTCTGCATTTTACAACTGAACATGTTTAACTTCTAAACACGTTTAAATATAAAACATGTTAAGACAAAAGTGTTTAGTTGTTAAACATATTTTTATATATGTTTAGGTCTAAACACGTCATGAAAGTGTTTAAATCCTAAATACAATTTTTACAGTGTATAGCAGTTGAACTCCCTCTGTGATTTAGGGGTCAAATCAGATGCCCCAATGTGTATTATGTGTGGGATCCTTCCTCCACGAACTGAAAAAAAAATCAAATTTAAATAATATTTTCAAAGATCATGCAAATAGGAACATGTTTATAAAATAAATATTTTATTATTTGATAATTTTCTTTCTAGAATTGGTTACTTACTTAGATCAGTTGTCTCCAAATCGAAAGGTAACATAATTATGCAATTTATTTAATTCTGCCTTGAGGAGACTTGGGAATAGGTTTGAAATATCCCTTGGATACAGGACTAGGAATTTGTTCAATGTCAACATAATCCTAATGTCCAACACCTAAATAGATAATGTGTAACAATAATATAAAAATGCAAATAAATAAAAATCTTTCTCTTCAATTTAAAAAATTATATATATATATATATATATATATATATATATATATATATATATATATATATATATATATATATATATAGCACTTAAATTACCAACGACACGAACAATAAAAATTGTCAAATTTTCGGGACGCCCTGTCCCTTCCTCAGGACAAAGAAAAAAGTTAAAAAGTCATAAGAACAAAGGAAAAAGAGAAACAAAAACAACTAGCACAACTACTAAACACTAGATATTTACATACTTAATTACATGTTGAATTGGAAAATTTTAAGAACACTAATAAAGAAAGAAATCCGGACCGCTATGAAATGCGTCCGGTCTATCGGGTATACTCGGGTGAAGTGCGATTTACATAATTGAACGAATTAATTATGCTAATTAATTACGACAATCAGTAAATCGTACATTGTTTCATTCTCTCAAAATGGCGTAACTTTACTTAATAAAGAATAATCTAGCAGGGATATTTAAACATATGAATTATGATCAATTATAAATTTTGAAATATTTAAAGACTTATTATCGGGAAAAAATAATTAACAAAGGCGTAAGCAATACATAGTTATGTGGGTTGTTCGAGAGTTGGTGACGCAAATTAACTGTAAAGTTTACACTAAATTGAGAGAATAATCTTGTTTAGTATCATCAGGAATTGGGTCTAGTTTACGTTCATTCTGGTGAAGTAATTCAGTTTGTTAATACCATTAAGGCGGAATGACTTCAATCTGTGCATCCAGAACTTTTCTTTGCTTTTTTTCTGAGCAACTGTCCATCTTGGGTTATGGTCAATCACCACTACTGTCATATCCTCCCATTTGTGACCCTCAAGGTTGAAATGTTCCCCAACGGGTTCATTGAGTTTTTTGGTCCTAATGGTCGAACGGTGGTTATTGACTCTCCTGCGGAGATCTCCTGTTTCACCAATATACTGTTTGAAGCAAACTTTGCAACTGATGAGATAAATGCAGTTGTCAGTATGGCAGGACAAATTCCCTAGTATTTTGTAGCTGCGGCCTGTAACAGGGCTGTTAAAACTGTCTGTGTCAGTGCTGTGCTTAAAAAGAAGACATCTTCTGTCAGAGCAAGTTTTAAAGCCCCCGTTAGGTAATGGGTTGACCAGTCTGGTTCTTACTACCATGTCCTTTAGATTCCTTGGGCGTCTGTATGCAGCCAATGGGGGTTCCTTAAAGACCTCTGCCATTCGTTTGTTTGAATGGAGAACTGGTAGGTTCTTTTGAAGGATACCGCTAAGGTTCTTAAGGACGGGATGGTATGTGGTTACCAGAGGGACCCTGTCGCTATTGTCTTTTTCCTTGTAGCGTAATAGGTTTTGCCTGTCATGTTCCGCCATCTCATCAATAGCTGTTTGTACGGTGCGGGCATTGTAGCCTCTTTTGCATAAGTGGGACTTAAGAAGACCACTTTGCTCCTGATATAAGGCAGGGGACGAACAGATGCGTCGAATTCTGGTGGCTAGACCCTTAGGCACTCCCTTAAAAGTGTGTGGGGGATGACAGCTAGTGGGCATAAGATATAGGTGGGAGTCTGTGGGTTTGGTGTGGAGACTGAATTCGATTTCACCATCAATCAGGGTGGATGTAGTATCTAGGAATACGTTTTTCGAATTAGATATGTCTACTGTAAATTTGATCGACTGATGAAAGGTGTTGGCAAACGTAATGAATGCCTCGAGGCTCTCGCGACATTCCACCCACTTCATCTCTATATCGTCAATGAAACGCAACCAGCTATGGGGCCTAAATGGTGCTTGAAGTAACAAGTTGCGTTCCAGTCTGCCCATGAAGATATTGGCATAAGACGGTGCCATTTTCTTACCCATAACAGTGCCATTAACCTGCAGGTAGTATTTTTGTAGCTGCGGCCTGTAACAGGGCTGTTAAAACTGTCTGTGTCAGTGCTGTGCTTACAAAGAAGACATCTTCTCTCAGAGCAAGTTTTAAAGCCCCCGTTAGGTAATGGGTTGTCCAGTCTGGTTCTTACTACCATGTCCTTTAGGTTCCTTGGGCGTCTGTATGCAGCCAATGGGGGTTCCTTAAAGACCTCTGCCATTCGTTTGTTTGAATGGAGAATTGGTATATATATATAACAATGAATTCACATGAAAATATATTTATATCCTTTGAAAAACTAAATTTTAATATATGCCCTCATCATGTTTAATGTTCATGATAGCATGAAAATAGCGTAAAAATATTAAAGCTGATAACTGACCAGCTTGGTAAGAAACTCCCTCCAAAGTTCCATAGCCCCTTTTGTCACTGCCCTCTCCTGCTTAAGGACAAGTCTCCTCCTTTTCTGGGATGGTAGCTTTGCTTTCTCCTGTGCGTAGCGTCGGTGTTTCAGCTGCTTCTCCGCATATGCTTCTGTATATCTTCCAGAAGATATTCCAGCTTTTGTATGTGCCTATTAAATTCATTCGAGTAATTAATGAAACGGACTAATTTTGCTTTTCTTAGATAAACTCAACTCACTCTAAGAAACTGAACAACAGGGTTTTTCTTGGAATGGACTGTAATGTTAAAAACACCAGGCAACTCAAACTAACTGTAACCCGTAGCCACAAAAGTGGGGTTTACAGTTCGAATGATCACCAAATTGATGGGGGATTAGTGCTTTCAAATTCTCCTCCATACCATCTCTGTTTCCTTGATTTTTGGCAAAGGTGTACTTTAAACATTTTTGAATGTGCATTATTACTGATCTACTAAGTTTTTTTTCTGCAAGGCAAACATGCTTTTACCACTTGAATGTTTTTGACAATGTGGTTCGTGTCAAATCTTTTTTTCATGGAGATATTCAAATCACTCTTAAGCCTTGCATCTTGTATTGTCACCATCACCTTCCAAATATTCAACTGGAGTACCACTTTCATTCAGTTCTTTCACCCCTTGAA